CTCTCCCTCTGCTGCTTCCCTGAGGGATTGGAAATGCTTCTGGCAAATCCTGTAGTCTCCTAATTTTTTAGTCTCTTATTTTTTTTCCCAATGTCCTTGCTGTTACTGGACACCATTATAGCAGCCTCCTGCCGTATGTGCAGGGAGCAGCGTGGCACAAAGAGGTACCACTTCCTTAGCCCAAACTGCCACCACCTCTTCTACATCGAACAGTTCTCTCTTTGTGCTAAAGATTGGACCTTTGAGTCCCCACCAGCAATTCCCCCATTCCTTGCACTGTATTAAGTATTTTTTTGATGGTTCTTCTCATGAGGGGAGGGAGCTGCTGCAGGAGCTGCTGGGGAGGCCCTGGCAACAGGATGTGAAAAATCCACCTTTGATTACGTCTGGCAGAAGAAACCAAAGTTGGAGGATCAGCATGATGAGCTGCTTGTCAAGGTTTGTTACRTAGCAGCGCTCTGGCTGTCAGAATTTTTCATGGAGAATCCTCCTTGATGGAGTGCGTATGGATTCTGTGAATATTAGTGCCCAAAAGCATCCATTTCTGATGCATTAAAGCAAGCTCACAGTATGGGATGAGTTTGAAGGGGGTTTAAATTTGCGAAGAGATGAATCCCCTTGGGTTCCTGCAGGTCCTCAGAGCTTAGAAGGAATGGGATGGCAGCTGGATTCCTCTCTTAATGGGTCCAATACTCACTACTGTGGTAGCTGTCAGGCTGGGCTCTGCCCACAAGGGATTCACGGGCAGCTGGTCGACCACAGGTCCAACTGCATTCCAACCAGAAGAGCACGATTTATTCAGCTGCAACATTTACAAAGSAGGTTTCTTCCAGTTGTTCTTGTTGTGTTTTTGCTTTGTTGAAGATGCTGGGCAGTGTTCTGAGCAGGCCCTGGGGAGATGGAGGAAGGAAGAGTTGTGCATGAATAAACAGGTGAGCTGAAAGATTGCTGTGGCGAGGGGAGTGTTGTGGTGGATGGTTCCCCTCATGTATTTCTGCTTTGTGCATGCAAGTGTGGAGCAACGTGGTGAGCAGCAAGATAAGTGTCGCTCCGTGACAGAAATTAGAGCTTAGCATAGGGTGGGTGTCTTGCTGGCGCTGTCCCTATTGCCCATCACTGTTCTGCTTCTACAGGTGATGTGGCAGCAGCTTCCCTGTGGTGAAAGAGCCCAATGGTCGGCAGGGGCGAGCAGAGCAGGTAGAGGCGCATGAGTGCACGCTCCGTGGGAATGGGCTGTGGTCTTGCCCGCGTTGCTGTAGTACGTGACTTCCCTGTGTTTGCAGAATCTGGAGGATTCTACAAAGTTGAGGAGAGGAGCAGTTGAGCACTGACCAGAGCCTCAGTGGGTGGGAGAAGAGAAAGGTAGTTGTGTCCAACAACATTGGGTGCTGTTGAGCTGTTTCTTAGTAACATTATGCCTTCTGCTCCTTTCAGATCACACTGAGGGCTTTTCCCAGTGATGTCTGAGCGCTTGGTGAGTGTGGCCTGGCAAGGGGCAGGATGCCAGTGAGCAGGGCGTCCGTGGCGCTTTGGAAGTGACTTTTTTGGCGGCTGAGGCCGTAGCTGAGCGGCACAGAGGTGACTGCCTGCCTTTTGCTTCGGCAGGTAATGAAGACCATCCGTAGCTCAGAGAGTGTGGCTGCTATTGAGGATGCCCTGGGAAGAGTGGTGGAGACCCAGAGTACTGCAGGCGCTCAGTTAATGGGCAAAGCGTGTTGGGGTGTCCTGACCATGGGTGCTGCCACTGAGGGCAGACTGGAGGTGTCTTCTCGATGAGCACGGTGTGGAAGGCAGAGGCAGCGCAGTGCACATGTGGGAAAATGAGAGCAGACAGTTCCCGCCTGTCTGTGGTTTGCATTGCAGCTTGAGTTTCTTTTGCTCAGGTTCTGGTGCTGCTCCTGTTCTTTGTGCTCCCAGAGCACATCCAATAATGCAGGGCACTAGTGCAGGAGGCATCCGTTGTCTTTTGCCTGGCCTTGCTCACTAGCATCACGCTGGTGGATGGCTGCTTGTTCTGTGGTGTTCTGTGTGGGCTCTGTCATCTGCAGCTGGACATCTTTGCAGCCCTCATTGTGGCCTCATTGGTTGCTGCTAATCCAGGCTTTTGTGCTGCCACCGCTCTGGGCTCTTGTACCTTCCTGGCCCCATTTCACAGTTGCATTTCCTATGTTGTCAAGGCCTTGGGCCTTGCTGGCTGCTTCTGCATTCCTGTTCTGGACTTCGCTGGCCCCTTTCTGCCACAGGCAGTGGTATTTGACTCTCTGTTCCTGTCCAGAACATCAGAGCTGCACAGTTGTGCTCTTGTAGAGCTTACTGGGGGGGGTTGTGTGTAGTCAGTCAGTTTAGCCCTGAAATGTTTGGGGATGGGATTTCTCTAATTTAAAACCCAAGTTTATAAATATATATGTATGTATACACACACATGCACTTTTTTCATTGTTTAGTGTAGCCTATGAGTAATTCTGGTTTGTGTTTTCACACTGTTAAGGTGAAAGCTTGGTTTCCGAAGCCTTCAGAAGAAGGTGCCTGCTTCAAACCAGGCATGTGGGAGATACAAACACATCTATATGCAAGACACGCCCAATCATAAGAGTTTGTTTTCAGACTGTAATAGCAGTGATGCTGGTTTGGTAAAATAAAAAAACTAGATATGCTGGAAARTGGAGTGATCTCTTTGCTGAAGACAGACATCCTTGTGGTGCCAACGCACATGGGCTGAATGAAGACTGCTGTGCTCACGTGGTCAAGGGGCTGAGTCCGCACCTGCGTGCAAGGGGCTCCACYGCTCACCCTGTACTTACTGCCTTCGCRTGGGAAGGAGGCTGTACAGCGTCAGCCCGGGGTGGGCGCGTGCGCATTGTGCCCCGAAGCACCGACTGCAGCCATCCTGTAGCCACGAGAAGTCCTGTGATGGTTGAGGCCCACAAATGCGCACTGCCACTGTTGTGCTCTGTGCTGAATATTGCAGAGGTATGGTTCAAGTGCAGCCTACGCTCCCACCCCTGAGGGCTCCACTCACACATGCAGAAAGCAAAACTGTAAGTGACGCATTTTGCCAGCTACCCCAGACTGGAGACGTCATCTTAAGATCCTAGAAACGGCCAGTGTGGACTGGACAGTAACATTTTTCTTGCGCCCTGTTGGGAAGGAGCTGCTTGCCTCATTCCAGGTAAGAGGGGTGGATACATACATATCTATAAAATAGGGGGGTTCTTATCCTTTAAACATAAATAATTGTTTGACTACTGTCATTTGGAAAAAAAACCAACAAATAAAAGTTCTGCCATTCTGGAAAATGAGTGACCCCCTTGTACTTGTCAGTAAAGCAGAGCTGCTGCTGAAAGGACAGCACACGTGTGCCCTGCTTGGTTCAGTGCTCCTCACCACCTTCCTGTGCTTAAAAATCGATACTGCAATGCCAAGGGGTTGGTCGGGATGTGGATGCACAGTGCATAGTGGCTCCCGCACCAGTACCCTACCGTGTTGGAAATCCAGTACTGCGGTCAGGGAGCCAGTGCTTGTGTTCCGTGCTGCCCGTGCCTGTTCTAACCCCAAAGATGCAACAGAAACGGGACGTTCTGACAGTTACCAGGGAGGGTCAGTGTCCTATTGGTCCCTGTCAATGACAAACTCGGAGTGGACTGCAACGTTTTTATTGCCACCTTGGCAGCTTTGGAGAATCTGCGTTTCCAGGTAGAAGCTGGATACCTATATATATTCAAGAGCAGGGCGGGAGCCTTTGGTGTTCTTATTAAAACAGTAATAAAACAAGGCACACAGAAAAAAAAATCATCCATTCTGGAAAGCAAACAAGTGTCCTGAGCTGGTCAAAACCGTAGAACTGCAGGTGTAAGAGCAGCAGGTACTCTGCATTGGGCAGCACTCCCTGCTACCCTCCTGTGCCTAAACGCCAGTCCCGCAACAGCTGGGGCTGGGGACATGCACAGATTGCTTTGCTTGCTACTGTCCTCCACTGTGGAAGGGGCTGTGCTGAAAAGGTAAGGAGAAGCACACGTGCTGGGTGCTCCCCGGGCCTCGTTGCTGCACTTGAGGATCAGAGAAGCARAAGTGTGGCCGTAAGTTCTGGTTCGCACTGTCCTGCATCAGCTTGTCGGTGTTGACCCCACTGTCAACTGCTCCTCTCCGATATTTTGGTAATCTTCAAGAGATCTTCAGAGACCTTCAAGACCATCAAGTCCAACCGTAAGCCCTTCACACCATACGTGTTAAACCATCTCCCTGTCTCATCTACACCTTTCTTGAACACTAGCAGGGATGGTGACTCCACCACTTTTTGGGCAGCCTACATTCATGTTTTACTATTATTTCCATTTAGTTTTTTTTCCTAATTATGCTCCCTTCTCTCCTTGTAATAACTCTCTCAGCAATAACTCCTTTTGCGTGCTCCATAATAGTTTTACTGTGCCTTTCTCTCCCCGTATTTTTGCCCTCCACAGTAATTCTTGCTCTATGTAAAAAATTTTCCCATGCACTCCGCACCCATTTCTCCTTGCATGCTCTGCCATACTTATTTCCCACACTACACCACGCTTCTTTCCTGTGCGCCTTGTCATAACTGTTGCCCTCCCCATGATAATTCCTCTTCCTCTCTCTCTCTCTCTCTGCAATAATTCCTCTGTGCTCCAACTTTCTCTCCCTGTAATAATTTTCTTCCGCTATCTGCAATGCTTATTCTGTACGCTCTGTAAAAATCATTTTCTGCACGATCGGCAGTAATTCCTCATTACCCCTTTTTCTCCCCACAATAACTCTTCCACACTTCCCATAAGAAATCCTTCTTCCTCCCCCTTTCTCTCTTTGTAATATTTCCTACTCATATGCTCTGCAATAATTCTTTTTTGCAAGCCTCTTTTTTTCCCCGCAGGAATCGTTACTCTATGCAGCATTTCATTTCTACGTGCAATTATAATTGATTCTTGCTCCGTAGAAATTTTCTTTGGCACTCCATAATAACTCTTTCCTGCATTCTCTGTAATAACTTGACTGGGCTCCTCCTTTTGCTCTCCGTAATAATTCTTTTTGAATACAGAATCAATACAGAATGAATGAATGTTCATGAAAACAGAATAATAATTCTGTTTTTCTCATCCTGATTCTTCTGTTCTTCCACTAATAGTCTGTTTTTCTCCCTCTAAAAATTCTCTTCCTCTCCCTCTTAAAATATAACTTCCCTCCTGCCAGTAATTCCTTACTGATGCCCCTCATGCTTCTCGTCCTCTCCCGCTGATGCTTCTCTTTCCCTTGAGGTAATAATTCTCTATTTCTAGCCCCCAAACAATCTCTTTTTCTCCTGCTAAAATCATCTCTATTCTCTTCCTTTCAGTCTAAGATTATTCCTTCTTCTACCGCTTGTAATTATTTGCCTTTTTCCTTCATAATTCTCTTGCTCTCCCACTAATAAATCTCTTCTTCTCCCACCAATAATTTTATTCCTTTAGCCCAAATAAATCTTTCACACTATGTAATATTTCCTTTTTTATTCCCCTAATAATGACCTTTTCCTGCTAGTAAATCTCTTCCTCTTATGTTAATAAATCTCCTTCTATCCCACTAATAATTTTAGTCATAGTCTCCCAAAAATTCTCTTTCACCCTAGGTAAGAACTCTTTGTATTTCCCTAATAATTTCCTTCGTTTCCTTCTAATAATTGTCTTCCTATTTCCCTCATAATTCTCTTGGTCTCTCATTGTGAAATCTCTTCCTTTCCCACTAATAATTTTATTCTTATTCTCCTCATAATTCTTTTCCACAATAGTTAATAGTTCTTTTTACTCCCCTAATAATTTATTTCCCCTGCCACTTATAAGGTTATTCTTCCAATAATTCTTTTTTAATCAGGTAATATTTCCCTTTTTATTTCCTTAATAGTTGCCATCTTCTCTCACTAATTTTACTCTTTCACTTCTTCTCATAAATCCCTTCCTCCTAAGAATTTTATTCCTCTTCTCCCAGTAAGTGTCTTTGACGCCAGGTAATAATTTTCTTTTTATGCTCAAAATCATTCGTCTCCCACTAATTATTCCTATTCTCTGCTGCTAAGAAGTCTCTCCCTATCTTTCATAATTTTCTTGATCTCTCACTCTGAAATCTCTTTCTCTCCCACTAATAATTTTGTTCCTATTCTCCAAAATAATCTCTATAATTCCAGGTAATAATTCTCTTCCAATTGCCATAATACTTTTCTTCGTCTCTTGCTGATAAATCTCTTCCCCTCTGGCTAATAATTTTAATCCTCTTCTCCCCCAAATTCTCTTTGACTCCAGGTAATAATTATCTTTTTTTATTCCCCTAATGGCTCTCCTCCTCCCCATCTAACCCTCCTCTTCTCCTCCCACTAATAATTCTGTACTTTTCTCACTATAATTCTCTTCCTCTTCCGTTAGGAATTGTCTTCCTCTCTCGTTGATTTTTCTCTTTCCATCCTGCTAATAATTTTGTTACTTTTCTGCCAACAGTTCTCTTCAGGTAATAATTTTGTTTCTAATCCCCTAATAATTCCCTTCCTCTCCTTCTAATTAGTCTTCTCCTCTCCTGCAAGATAACAATTATCCTTTCCCAGTGATAATTTTATTCCTATTTTCCTAATAATTTTCTGTCAGTTCAGATAATAATTCTCTTTATATTCCCCTAAATATAATTCTCTTTATATTCCCCTAAATATAATTCTCTTTATATTCCCCCCTCTTCATCTATGGCTAATACTTATTTTCCCACTAATAATTCTCTAGATTTCACAATATAATTCTATTTCTCATTAAGAATTTTATTTTGCTCTCACTAATACTTCTCTTTACCTTGGGCTAATAATTTTATTTCTGTTCTCCCAATAATTCTCTTTCATTGCAGGTATATTATTCTGGTTTTATTTTGCTAATTATTCAGTTCTTCTGCAGATAAGGCAATAATACTCCTTTTATTCTCCTAATAATTCCATTCCTCTCCTGCTAATAATTCTCTTACTCTCCCAATAGTAATTTCGTTACTACTAATTTTATTCCTGTTCTCCCAATCATTCCCTTCCTCTCCAMCTAATACTTCTCCTCCTCCTCAAGTAACGACTATCTTCCTATTTCCCTCATAATTCTTCTCGTTGCCTTAAGAATAATTTTATTCTTGTTCTCCCAATATTTCTCTTCCATGCCACATGATAATTCTCTTGGTATTCCCCTAGTTTCCTCTTTGACTAATACTTTCCTTCTTATGCCTGTAATATTCCTGTAATATTTATCTTCCTGTTTCTCTCAGAATTCTCTTCCTTTCCCGCTAATAATATTATTCCTRTTCTCCCAAAAGTTCTGTTGCATGCCTGACAATATTTCTTTTTACTCATCGAGTAATTAACATCTACTCCTGCTAATCAATATTGTCCTCTCATGTTAATAATTCTCTTCCAATCCGATTAAATACAGTACTAGTATTCTAAGAAATCTCTTACACACTAGGTAATAATTCCTTATTTTTTTCCCCCCAAATTATTCCCTTTCTATTCTTCTAATAATTCCTTTACTCTTGTGCACAATTATTTTCCTCTCCAGCTTATAAGTTTGTTCCTATTCTCCAAATTATTCTCTCCTACTTTAGGTAATAATTCTCCTTTTAGTCCACAAATTAATGTCTACCTCTCCTGCTAATAATTTTATTCTTATTCTTCCCACAGTTCTCTTCAATGTCACKTAATAATTCTCTTTGAATTCCCCCAATTATTACCTTCCTCTTTGGCTAATACTTCTCTTCTTCTGGTAATAGTTATCTTCCTGTGTCCCTTATAATTCTTTTCCTCTCCCGCTAATAATTTTATACCTATTYTTGCAACAATACCCTTGCGCGCCAGAAAAARATTCTCTTTGTATTCCCCCAATTATTCTATTCCTTCTCTGCTAATACTTCTCTTGTTCTGCTGGCAATAATAATCTTCCTATTTCCCTCATCTCCTGCTAATATGTTTATTCCTRTTATTTCTATAATTCTCTTGTAYGCCACATAGTATTTGTCTTTTTATTCCTCCAGTTATTCTCTTCTTCTCTGGCTAATACTAAACTTCTTTTTACCTTCTGTTTCCCTCATAATTCTCCTCCTCTCCCTGTAAGAATTTTATCCTCTTTCTCCCAATAATTCTCTCACACACCAGGTAATATTTCT